TTAGAGAATAAAAGTCCTTATTATGATGATGCATGTTGAACAAAATATTCAAGTTATAGTAATGATAAAGGAATTTTTAATCTTGGTGATATGACTTCCAGTGCATATATAAAATTTTGGTATAATGAAGATATGAAATGGTTATTTGTTATGAGTCAAAACACAGACATTGGAAATAAAGATAGTAAAAGTGATACACCTTGTGTATTAGTAATTAAACCAAGTTATGACACTAATACAAATAAAATTCATATAGATTTTGATTTTATAAATACTCCAACATTTAATTATATTCATATTGATGATACCCACTCATTTGGACAAGTAATTGATACTTCATATGATTTAGATAAAAAAGTATTATATCTAGTAATTTCAGCTCCTGAAGCTATTGTAGAACATTCAAATGTTGCATATTCTATGGGTCTTATTTATCATTACACATATGATGAAGAACAAGGATTTCAATTTAGAATGTACTTTGTACCTCCAGTACTACAAAATCATTACGGATTTGGTCGTGGTGTTGCTATTTATAAAGAAGAAAAAATAAGAAGAGTTTTTATAGTTAATGCAGTTGATAATCATGTTTATGAATCTACAATTCCTGTATGTGGAGATGGTATTGTTACAACAGAAGTTGGTGAGGAATGTGAAGATGGAGATGGATGTAAAACAGACAAATGTTTATGTATTGATAATTATGTTGCAACAAATGGTAAATGTGAATTAAAATGTGAAAGAAATACATGTGATTGTGATTTAACAAATCCATGTATATCATGTAATGTAGAACATTTAAATATAAGTACAAGATGTCAAGAATGTGATAATGGATATGAATTATTAAATGGAATTTGTAAAACAGTATGTGGAAATAAAATAAGAAGTTTAGATGAACAATGTGATCAAGTAGATAATTGTGATGAAAATTGTACGTGTTATGTTGGATATATTCCAGCAGATAATTTAGAAAATAGATGTATTATTTCAAAGAAAAGTGGATTAATTGCATGGACAGCAATTCAAGCAAGTATTGCAATAATAGTAATTGTTGGAGTATTGTTATTTATTTTAATTAAGTTATATATTAAAACAAGATCAAGACTAAATATTACTGGAAGTGGTGGAATTATTATTTATGAATCAGGTTCAACAGCTAAACTTCAACAATTTGAAGAAAATGAAGCAGAAAGATATCCATTATATTATATTAATAATTCTCCATTTATGTATTCATTTTCTAATGAAATTAATTTTTATCTTGAAGAAGATTTAGAACATATTGTTGATAAATTAGAATTGAAAAAAAAATATGTTTTTCAATTATTCGTCGGTAATAAATCATTAAACATTTGTAGTTTTGCTATTGGTGATCCTCGTTTAGATAAAGATGATTATGATTTAGAATTTACTCCTGATAAAGGAAATATTAGAGCTGGTGATATTATTTGTATCTACGGTAAACTTACTCCTTTGAGAGAATGTGCTGTTAAAGAAAATTTCACTTTAACTGTAGTTAATTTAAACACTACAAAATCCTATATTCAAAATATCCCTCTTGAATTTAGTGTTGAAGATTAATTCTTACTTTATTTTTTTCTCTTTTTAAATTAATTCTATTTTTCTGTTATGATTTTTGAAACATTCATTTTGAACATTTATAACTTATAAAAGTACCATCAATATTATTATTTGATCAATTTGTAATTCATTTAAATAATTGTATCTCTATTGAAATATTTCTGTTAAGTCTTCTTTTTTTTTTTTATTAATTCTTCTTGAAAATTCATTTCTTTTGTTTAATAAAAAAAAACATTCAAAAAATTAAAAATAAATTTTAATTTATTAGAAATATTAAAAACAAAAATTAACAAAAAAACTATTTAAAAAAAAAAAAAAGGAAATTAAAAAAATGAAAACTAGAAGCCAAAGGGAAAGAAAGGTTGTTCCTCATTATTCAAGTGGAATTGTCAAAGGGACTGAGTTATTTCAAGGAAGGGGTATTCCTCTTGGGAGCTCTAAACGTATTAAAGAAGGTATAGATAATTTATCATTAGATTCTCTAGTTTTACTTCATAGATTAATGTATCACAAACAAGGTGAAGACTCAGAACGATTAGATGACATCCTCTTGTTCAGTGGATTTAAAGACATTAAACAAAGAGAAGCAGCAATTAGAATAGCTCAAAGAGTTAGTGAAGATAATATCAAACCATTATGTAAATTATTTGACATAGAAAATGAAGAAAAGGATGATATGGTCAAAGAGCTATCTGACTTTCTTTTTGCCCCAAAACTTTTGAAAAGAGATTTTAAATTAAATTATATAGAAACAATGGACGAAAGTGAGGACAATGAAGAGAACCTCCGTAAAATAGAAGAAATGCTTGCCTCCCCTGAAGAAGAAGAGGCTTATACCCCCGAAGAGGTATCTGAAGAAGAGGATAGTGCTGATGATAAAAAAACAACTAAAAAGCAATCGATTCATAAAAAAGAACAAAACGAAAACAAAGTAAAACAAAATAAAAATAAAAAAGAACAAAATTTAACAAAAGAGAAGAAACCGTATCCCACAATTTCTCATAAAAAAGAAACCAAGAAAAAAAATAAAAAGAAAGCAAAGTAATAATTAAAATGTGATTTTATTATTGATATATAATTTAGTTTTTTACTACAAAAATCTTATTAAGAAAACAGTTTTATTATTTCAAATAAACAATAGAGAAAAAAGATGGGATCAAACATTCTACATTCACCCTGGCCGAGTGTGTAGACCCTTTTGAATCAACTATCGTTCATTTGGGGAAAGAAAGTTCATCACATCCCAGAATTAATCTTTTATTAATCATTATCAAAAGTGTTTTAATTAAAAAATATAATTATGGGTTTTATAATTCTATATTTATAATTGTAATGGACCTTCTAATCTACGAAATTATTCGACAAAATAAAATGGTGGTATTAAGAAGACAAAAACTAACCAAGATCATTTTTTCAAATTTATTTCAAACTATAAATTTTTTCTTATTAAACCATAAAATTAAATTTTAAATTTTTGAATCAAAAAAAAAAATAATTAATAACATCTCCAAGAAAACTAAAAAAAAATAATTTTTACAAAAATAAAATAAGTAAAAAATAGAGTCAAAACTTGAAAAAAAAAGAACTAAAAAAATTAAAAAATGGCTGTTTGTTTCTTTTATATTTTACTTAAAAGAGCCAATCACATGATTTTATAATAAGTTTGAGGTCTAAGTGCAAAAAGTAATGTAAAAATGAAACTGATTATTCAGGAAGATATTGCCAATTACTTCAATTCAATTTCAAATTCTAATGAATGGGGAAAATACCTTGAGGATGCTGATGTTCGAGCTAAGGCTGAGGCATTACAAAATGCTATGCTTGCATTTTCTGATATGAACACTGGTGCTGGTAAAATTGAAAATGGTAAAAAGGCATTAAAAATAGTTGTGGTTGGTGATGGTGCTGTTGGTAAAACTTGTTTATTATTAGCTTTTAGTAAAGGTGAAATCCCAACTGCTTATGTCCCAACAGTTTTTGAAAATTTCTCTCATGTTATGAAATACAAGAACGAAGAATTTATTCTTCATCTTTGGGATACTGCTGGTCAAGAAGAATATGATAGATTAAGACCATTAAGTTATGCAGATTCAGATGTTGTATTATTATGTTTTGCTGTGAATAACAGAACATCATTTGATAATATTTCGACTAAATGGGAACCAGAAATTAAGCATTATATTGACACTGCAAAGACTGTTTTAGTTGGGTTAAAGGTTGACCTTCGAAAAGATGGATCTGATGATGTTACAAAACAAGAAGGTGATGATTTATGTCAAAAACTTGGATGTGTTGCTTATATAGAAGCATCATCAGTTGCAAAGATTGGTTTGAACGAAGTTTTTGAAAAGTCAGTTGATTGTATCTTCTCAAATAAACCCACCCCAAAAGCTTCTACTACAACTCAACCAAAAAGTCAAGAAGTTTGTTTTTTTTATTTCTTAATTTATGACTATCAAAAGAAATATTTTATTTACTTACACTCAGAGTACCCAACAAAAGAAAAAATCAAAATGCCTTTTACAATAAAACGATTTTTTCATAGTAAGTTAATAAGAAAAAGTTTCATTGAAATCATTTTATTTTTTAAAATATTTTATTTTTGTTATTGTTTATGAAAATTAAATTTTTGTGATTCAAAAAAACGAATAATCCAATCAATTGTATTTTGAAATAAACAAAGATGACGAACCAGATTTTTCTTTGTCAACCAACCAATTTCCTTTTAACTTAGGAATTGCTGGTGGGTAAATATATTTTTCAACACCAGGTTGGACATGGTTTGTACAATGATTATATCCATAGCTTTCCATATACTTTATTGGTTCAACTAAGACAGGGACACTATGGTATGATGGTAATAATTCTTCAGGACGAGTCATAGAATAGTATTTATCGCAGACTGTATTTGCCTTTCCTTTATGTCTTGGAGCTAATGATTGAACTACTTTAATGAAACGAAGTCGTTCTTTTGACTCCATATCTGCATGTAATTGAAAATAAATATCATCGTCAGTGTTTTCATCCTCTTCTACTGTACAGTTGTTTTCTTTATTTTGATTAATTTTATCATCTTTGGATTCTTCTTGAATTTCATTTATTTTATGAAATTCTGGTATGTCAATGCTAGATCTTCCTTTTGGTAATTTTACAACTTTCTCTTCATTTAATTGAGGTACTATTGCTCGTTCAGCACGGATAACTTCTTCTTGTAAGGTTGATCTTTTTGAATGTGACGGTTCATCTTGAAATACATCAAGCATTTCAACTTCTTCAATTTGCTCTTTATGAACTTTCTTGGGTTTTTTTGCTTTCTTTTTGTCATCATTTTTCTTTGGTTTCTTTTCTTTTTTGACTTTTTCTTTAGGTTTTTTTTTCTCGTTAATTATTTTCTTTTCATTTTGTTTTTCATCTTTTATTTCTTTCTGTTGGATAGTACCTATTACCATTTCGGGATTAATAATCTTTTCATTCATTTTATCATCTTCCATTTGAATAGTTTGACTAATTTTATTTTTACTCGATCATCTTTTTAATTTTTATTGAATATTTTTTTCATTTTCTATTTTTTGTTAAAAAAAAACAATAACTTCTTTGATTAAAATGATTAATGTTTTATTATAAATAATTACACAAAATAGATTATAATGAGTTTAAGTGTCATTATTTATTATTTGTTATGAGTAATTAATCATTAATACGTTTATTTTTATAAGACGGTTTGAGGGTAAAAGAAAGTTAAATAAGTTAAAGATAGAATAAAGAATAAAATGATAAATTTACAATCAGAGTCTCAGAACAGAATATAGTTTATCTAAAAATAATCTGTATGATAGGATCACCTTTTTTGATAACTAATTCTTTTTTATGTTCATTAAGTCGTCTTGAAATGATAGAGTTGATTTCTTCTGCTTTTTGAGTTATGTCATTTTTTCTAGTAACGTAATCACACTTCTCATAACTTTCTTAATATATTCTTGTTTATTAATACCAACCTTTCCTTCAACACATTTACTTTCAAATTCTTAACTACCCCCATATGATCAGAAGATCTATAAGAATATGATGAAGTTCTATTTTTTTTTATTATTTTGATATCTTCTTATAGCTGTTTTTATTGGCACCGAATGACTAATATTATTTTGTTTTAATTTACCACACCTTCTTTTAATGTATTCGCTTAGTATAATAACATTATTCTTACCAAAATCAAGGCTTTTTAAACGCATATATTGTTATGTGACAGTATTTCTTTTAGCTGGTTGTTAATAGTAATATCGCAGAATTCAGATAATAGAAAAATACATAATGATTGTTGAAGTGTTTGAAGTTTCTTGTTTCAGGAGAAGCTTTAATAACAGGGATTCTTTTTTTTTTAAGTGGTGTAACACAAGGCTTTTCTTTTTTAGAAATTTTTGTTTTAAAGAATTGAGTTTCATGAATAGGATCTGGCTGTGTGATGTCTTCCATTAAGTAAACAATATTGTCTTTATAGGATTTGTTTAGGTAATAAATATCTATTCTATTTCAAGATCTAACATCAAAGAGACCTTAATACTTTTCCAATTTTCATGATATCTATTCAGGAAAAATAAAATGATTTTCTTCTTTTGTTTTATTCTTTTTTTTTTCATAAAAATAAAATTTAAAATAAATCTTTTTTATATATATTTAAATAGATTTAAATATTAACCTAATTTGAAAACTAAACGAATTAATATAACAAACTTTCTATTTTCCAACATCATTTTCAAAGTAACAAATTTTAATTAATACTGTTGTGTCATGAAAGAAAACAGGTGTAATGTTAATTATTTCGTTCAACATTTTTGATAGAGCATAAAGAAGGGGATAACATTAATATCATTTAAATAAATTTTAAGAAAAACAAATGAAATTTAAAAAAAAAAAGGAAATAAAACAAAGGAATAAGTTTTGTTATTTAAAAAGAACGATAAAAATAATACTAATAGAGTCGAAACTTAAAAATAAAGAAACTAATTAGTTTATTTCACTATATGCCATTCTGTAGTTCTTGTGGAACAAAGTTAAATGAAGGTGCTAAGTTTTGTCCAAATTGTGGTGCTAAGGTTGCAGTTACAGAAACGACAACACCAAAGTTCCAAGAAATTAAAGAAGTAAAAATTGAAGAAAAAGTAGCACCAGTTGAAATGAAAAAGACAGTAGCAGAAGAGCACACCATTTCTACTGCAACTACAGAAGCACCAAAACAATCATTTACAGAAAATGTTACAATTAAAGTCTGTCATGGGTGTGGTAAACCATTTGAATTAACACAAGCCAAAGAAATATTTGGACATATATATCATAATGAATGTTTTAAATGTCATATTTGTGGTCAAAAACTCTTTAGTTTTGCTAAATTTTATAATGATAATGGAGAAATAATGTGTCATCCATGTATGTTAAAGAGAGTCCCAAAATGTGCTAAGTGTGGAAAACCATTAGTTGGAAATTTTGTTACTTGTGGAGGAAGAAATTGGCATAAAGAATGTGTCCCAGAAAATCTCTAAGACATAATTTTTTATTTGGAATTCTTTTTCTTTTATTAGAATAACTGTCTGTTTTTTATTGAAATGATGTTTTATTGTTTAAATAAAAATTTAATAAAATTAAATTAATTTTAAAACTATTAAAAACGATGTTTGAATTGAAATTTAAAATAATCTTTCAAATCTTCTTCTTTTAATTAATAATTTATGAAGATAAATTGATAAAAGAACAATTATTATGATAATAAGAATAATACAAATAACTGATGGTATTATAATTAGCCAAATTGTATTTGAATTGTTTTGGTTATTAGTGTCTTCATAAGGACATTGATAGTCATTAATATCTTTAATTAATGCCATATATTTATCACAAACAATTGTTAAATACATACTCGTAATTGGTTGTAAAGAGTCATTTCTTTTAAATATTTTAATAGTGTCTAATGGTGGAAATTCATCAGATTTTAATATGTAATATTTATCAAATAAAGGATCAGGAAGATAAATAAGAGTATTATCTAAAGCAGTTGTACCATTTTGTAATAATGAAATAAATAAGAAGTCATTATGAGTAGGAACAATTATAAATAATTTAATATTAAGATATTTACTTTCAATTGTATCTTTAAGATATAAATGTAATGTTGAAGCTTCTATTTGAAGGATTCTACCACTACTATAAGTAAATATATCATAATTTATTCCTTTAATATATTTAACTTCATAATCATATAATTCTATTTCTATATTACTTTCTTTTGTAATATTAATAATTCCAACATAAATCTCTTTAAATGAACAACTCTCGTCTATTGTTATTTTCTCACAACTGACTCTTCCATTAAATTTATGTTTTCCAAAAATATAATTTTCATTGCTTCTATG